CCTGGAAAGGCGACCAAAAAAATATCTGAATGGTGATGATATTTTTTCGGTTTAATTAAATTTTGCAATCTATATTAGATATGATATTACAAATGTAGACAACATTTTCAAAAATTTAAATCAAATTTTAAAAACTTTTCCACATACCTATAGCCAGATGTAGCCGAAAACAAGCCAAAACGTCAACACAGCTCACAAGAGAGGACGATATACACAGAATATATTGAGTGAATGTAACTTAAACCACATTAGGTAGTATCAATAGTCTTCTGAAACTACTCTTCTCGCATTGGCGTTGCCATCCCGTCAAGATTGGGCAACTAGGATGCCACACCGCTCGAAAAAACCTGGTAGACAACATACATATCCAGAGTTACGTAGTTGGATTATGGTCATCAGCAGTTTTCTTTTTGGTGAATGACATCTTTAGTTATTTGAGTTTTGTTTCGCACACTTTTCGAGTGCATTGCCTCGCATTATTTAGCAATTAATCATCGGCAATGCAGCGGACCTATCTAAACCTACAGCTACGTCTAGTGCCATAAACATCAATCAAATATCGAGCAAAAGAAAAACAAACAAAACAAAGCTCACGCTCTGTGCCAACGACACCTTCTTGCCGTTCATTTAATTAATGTACATTGTTTTTCGTATTTTCGTATTTACGTATTTCTGTTTGTGCTAAAACTTTTACTACATCTATAGAAAATATACAAACATATATRTGTATATATACTTGTTATATATATCGCTCATATACGTTAGGGGCATATATTCGTTGCACTCGGTTGCGCCATTTGTTGAGATAAGCGTCGACGATTCGAGCTGCTAAATTCATTTCAATTTGAAAGCGAGAGTACATAGTGAGTGTTTACCAAGAACAAATACAAATAACATGTATGTGTGTGTATATGTTGTCTATGTGCTTGGATTTGCCACTGCAATATAAATATACTGAGATACATATATGCATATACATATATTTCATATGCGCTGTTTAACTCGACTTCTAGTTGAAATATTTTTGCAGTCATTTATTAGTCATTCAGCATTACGAATTGAATAAAAATGTGAAACTAAATAAATTCAAAATATTTTACAATCTTTTCAGGTACAACACATTCTCTATAGGGGATATAGGAGAGAAATTTTTATAATGAAGCAGTTTTTAAGATCGCAGGCTTTGCGAGTATACAAAGTATAGAAAATATAAACCATTACTCTGCTCTAAAGAACTACATATTAAAAGTAGTCAATATATTGAGCCGAAGTATACAAGTCTAGAAGTTAAGCTAACTATTGAGTCCAAACAATAAAGACTTGATCTTAAGCTACATATTAGTAAATCTCTTAGCTTACAGCCGCAGAAAGATGAGATCATCATTAGAGTTACTCAAGTGACAGCTGATAGTCCCATTCATTGATAAAAAAAAAAAATCACACCTAGGCAATTAGCCAAGCAAAAGAAAAGCCAAAACGAGAATATGAAGAGCGAATGCGAAAAACCAAAACCGAAATTTCGATTTATTTTTAGTGTTTTGGCGTTTTGGCTTTTAGCTTTTAGCTTTTTGTTTGCTTTTAGGTTTTTGCTTTTTGGCGGCCATTTTTGATGACGCGGGCACTGAATGACATACTGTCACATCAAATACACAAAACACACACAGAGAGACACAGAGAAAGACAGACAGAGAAAGAGAGACAGAGAGAAACAAAGAGGATGAAAGAGATAAAGCTACACAGCTGTAGAGGCACAAATATGTATGTCTGTCGAGTGTGTCGATCGAAAAAGTTTGTATTATATGTGTTTATATGTGTTAATGGGTCTCTGACCTGATTTAATAATAACAAATATCATGACAGGTCCACATGAGTGTGAGTGCATTGTATACAATCCAAATGAATGTGTGTTTATGCATATATTGTACATACATACACATACATGTATATGCATATGTATACCAAGAAGAAGACCAACAATTTTGTTGCTTTTAATATTTCATTTTATTTATTTATTTATTTTTTGTGTGTTTGTTTATAATATAAATATAATAT